AAAACATGCTCTGCTAAAGTTCTTTAGATGCTCAATCAGCATATAATACAGAGAAAAAATCTGGTTAGGGTAAGAAACTAAAGGAGAGAAGGGTAGGATAGGGATTTAATTAGAAGTCATCATTATGTCACATTGGCACATTTAATAATACCTGTTACTTGTGCTGAATGAAGTAATTTTTCTGCAGAGAAAAAAAAAAAGTTAAGTTCTATATCACAGAGTATTGAATACCGAAGGTATACATGTATATCAAGGAGAAGAGACTACAGAGTTCAGTTAGGAAAAAACAGAATAAGTTTGACAACTTGGGGCAGGTATGAACTGCATTTCTGAGCTGTTTATAGCAAGTGCTTATTTACTTTGGTAGAAATTGGATGCACATTTGTCTTATTTGCAAGCATCTGCTGTGCAACAGTGCTACTTCTACTAAATATCATAAGTTACTTTTAGTAAGTTTTTCATGTTTGAATTCTAGCTTAATTTGCTTTTATAGCAATACTTTCTGGTTTTGCAACTTTGCTAGCCAACACCGTAAATGCCTTAAGAAAATTCCACGCACATTGTTAGTATTTGCAATCCATTAGTATTATACATGTATGTACTAATATTCTTACTCCAGTTAAAGTACTCAAAATTATTTGATACAAGGTGGAAAGGAAAAATCAGTAATGGAGAGTAATGATACACTGAAAACAGTAGGTGAGGCAACTACACTGGCATCAAAGCAACATTAAGAGAAGCTGAAGATTTTATTGCACAGTACAAGATGAGGAAAGTCTTAAATGCTTTGGCATTGTTACTAGCAAGACATAGAAAAGTTACTCTGACCATTTCTTCCTGTGCAACCGACATAACTGTATCTGAAAGAAAAAGAAGTCAATGAAAAAGAATATGCTTGAAACTATTTGACTATAATGATCAAAGTATGATATAAACAAGAGAACAGCAGTTTTGAAAGAAAAAATAATCTATATTTGATCTAGCTCAGGCTTCCTTTGTGTCAGCACTTTAACACAGCAAAGGTGCTGACAATAGTTCTGTTAACTGTGAAAACTACTAAAACTAAATGAGGTTTTAAAGACTGCTTACCTTTAACTGACGGACTGAATTTCATACCTCCAAACAAGACAAAACCCAACATATACCAATTTTCAGTGTATTTTGTGTATGTAGAAACAAAGCAAACTGAAGAGAAACAATGTTTTTTCTTGATGCAAGTAAAAAACGAAACAAAACATTGATTTCCAATCCCACCTAGTTTCTCATTCTAAATTCTAAATTATATTCAGAATATCCCCAATTTACCATCAATGCAGTCAAACTGCAGCTATTACTATTTCAAACACTTTTTCCTCTTCATAAATACTGAAGTTTCTTTAGTATGGCATGGTGCAATCTGTATTATCATAATTGTTATAAAAGCAAATAACTGATGAAAATATCAGTGAACATAAAAATTATTTATTTTCATAATCAGACAGAAAACAGTAATAGTAAATAAAACATCCAGCAAACTAAAAATACTGAACTGTGTAAACAACAGTCATGTGCAAATTAACTCTTACAGCCTTGTGGACTCATTTCGTTTCCACTTAACTTCACTTGCAACCACTGCAGTGGAAAATATGGCTCCCACTACTCCTGCTGAATTACAGACTTAGTCCAGAAGGCCTGAGAAAAGTCTCAGAAGTCTAGATTTCATTTCAAAGTACAAGAAATAATTGACACAAGAAATAGAATATATAGCATCCTCGACATAATATTTCAATACACATATCAACAGCTAGAGTACCTAAGCCCCATCAAATAAACCCCAGCAATGCCACCCATTTTCATTTCTTCTACCATGACTTTTCCTACAACATGCATTTATAATACGTTCTCTGCATCATCACAGTCAGAAATGTTGGACTGCACTCACTGTATAAGACTTTTACTATTATACATGCTCCTGGAAGGCAAAAATGGTGCCATAATCTTTACTGCTAACAGCCACATCCAAATTTCACAATTCATTATGAAGAAACTTAATACAGATGGCATTAAGCAGGAATTTATAAACTTTGCTTTAACTTTGAAAATGAAAAGCACAGAGAAGCAACATTTAGCAGTAACTTGTAAATGTAATCTTCTGGTCTAAGAAAATTATCTCTGATTACCCTACATAGTTCATACAATCTATCAAGTACTTGTTTTATTATACCTGAAGATATGATGGAGATGCTTTTCTTATGCAGGAAAAAAAGAAAAAAAAAGTACAAGGTGTTTCTAATGTTACTTTATGTTACTTTTTGGTACTATCTCTATATAAGAAATTTACACTGTTTCTGAATGCTAACACTTCTAATTCTGTATTGGAAGGCAAAACATCTCTAAGTTTACCCATAGGTTTCACATGATCTTGTCTGATTCTGTAAGATTATTTTCCCTTCTAGAATGCTTCAGTGTGTTTTTCTTTCTTCTGAATATTTAATCTGACGTTTTATGCTTTCTGTTGATAAAGGGCTTGAGTACTAGAAACCCTGATACTTTCATTCACTGTAATTAATCAAAATTACACCAAATGAATGTAACTTGTTACAAAACACAGTGAAGTTACTGCTCTTGAAATACCCTGAAGGCCAATGATTGGATAAAACTAGCACAAAACCCAAATGGTGATACTTTCTCTGAACTAGAAGAAACATTTTAATTTTAAAAATGGTAAATAAGACCTTATAGTATCTCAGTAAAATGCATATGGCTAAAAAAAAGTCATAAAATAAGAAGCATAAAACTCCCATCTTTCTATACCAGAGAAAGCAAGTCAGAAATAACAGCTACAATACAGTGAAAGATGAACTTTTAGCTGAGAAATAAAGCACATCTTTAGCTGCTCTTCCTCCTAGAATGAAATTCTTAAGCAATAAATGCTTATTATCTGGAAATAAAATACATAAGAAAACTCCACCCAGCAGTCACATGAATATGACTAAAACCACCAAAATACTTTTCTCTTAACCACAAGTAGATTATAATTGACAGTGCAGGAGATTAAAGACAACTTCATTAGTTTTCAGTGCCAATCTGTCCTTACAATGCCATAATTATGACTGGTCAAGTTGATGTTTAATTTGAACACCTCTTCAGAATACTGATTATCTGTGTTTTTCAGACACCTGCAAATACATACATCAAAGCTTCACACTTCCACAGAATATTAACCATGATCCATTGTTCTTATATACTTTTTCAGTTGCAACTGAATGCAGTAGGACAGTAAACAAATCCACTTAGTCATTTTCTTACAAGCTATTAATGTAGAAAATATAACATTCTATTCTCCCAAGAAGCTTAACACATCATATGGATAAAAGAATTGGAAAAGATTAAGCATGAAATACATGAAAAAAAAATCAAAGTATAGCTGGGTCATCACTGGAGAAATTCCATTATTTCTTTCAGAGTAGATAGGAATGTATGGAAAACAAATTAAACAAAACAAAACCAAAAAACAATGCAAGTTTAAAAGAACAGACACATGGAAGCACTGTGCATGCATATATCCTTCTTCACTGGGCACTCAAAAGATTTTTTCTTAAAGATCATTCCATAAAATATTTTTGTATGTCAGAGACTTTTTTTTTCAGAAATAAATTCAGTTTACTAGTCATAAATAGTATTACTTCAAATAAACACGCACTAAGATAGTTAAAGGAAGAACAATGTCTCTATTCACTGAATAAAAAGCAACATTTCTACATATCAAAACAAGTTATTTAAGCATTTGAAATATATGAACCAACCTCAGATACAAACAGTATGACACAAAGAATTAAACACAAACTACAGTAGAATTTGCCTCATATAGAACTAATATATCATAAACCTCAACAGAAGTCTACCAGTGCAAAGCACTCATGCAATGAAAGCATTTGGAGAAGACTTCCCACCAGCTTTGGACCCTGAAACTAGGAAGTCCTTTTCTAACAACTAGAACATTCATGAACTAGAACATTTTCCGAGAGGTGGGAAAATTTCCCAAGCAACATGAGAATTTCATCACTGCAGGTTGTTTTGTTTTTTTTTGTTTGTTTGTTTTTGTTTTTTTTTTAAGTAGGTTCAAAGATAGTAGAGGCAATGGCTACATATTTTATTATTTTGGGAGACTCAGCTGGGCATTAAGAGTGGCAGCAGAAACTTAACTGCACAAAGAAGTGTTTGACTTGATCAAACAGTTGATTGCAGTAGCTGGCAACTAGTCTAGCTGTGGACTAGCTTACTTCAAAAATCCCCTCCAAGCAACAAGCTGCCCACCCAGGCTGCAGAACATCTCAATCCTTGAGATTTGAAGTCAAACTCACAGAATTGTACAAAGATTTGGGTTGGAAGGGACCTTAAAAATCAGCTAATTCCACCCTCCCTGCTATGGGGAGGGACACCTTCCACTAGACCAGGTTGCTCAAAGCCCCATCCAACCTGGCTCCATCCAATCTGGCCATCCACTTCTCCAGGTGCCTACTCATACTCTACCTTGAACAGAAGTTGGACTAAGATCACACAAAGACCCTTCCAACCTTAATTGTTCTATAATTTTGCTTTAAGTATAAAATGAATCTCATCAGTTTTAATCTTCACTATACCTGCTTTGTCTCTGGCCATGCTTGTGGTTAACCCAGTTCAATAACTATTATTCACACAAATCACAAAGTTTGATGTCAGAGATGAGGTTTGGCATAAAGACAGTGTGAACTTTATGCCTGAAGTTACACAGCAATTCAGTGTTGAAGCTCGGAAACAAGACATCTTCCAATGCCCTAAATCTACTTTATTATATAGTACACTAATATAAATTTAGTAAATACAATATTGAAATATTAATTTGTTACTTTGTTGGTTGAGAAAATGTAGGAATAGATCGTAGCAACTTTTAAAATTTCTGTGATCACTTTGTAAAATGAGAAATTGGAAAACCAAAATTTCACACTACTTATATCACAGTAAACTCAGAACTTCAGACATAGTTCAGAACATTTTTATTTATTTTATTTTATTTTTACCTCAGAAGTGACTCTTTAAGCAAGCAGGGATTAGTAGCAATACAATGACTTATACTTACAATTAACTCTAATATCTTGCCAATTAACTAAACAGAGTTACATTGGTGCCAGTATCTAAAGAGAAAGCATTCTCATTGATCAACACCTCTGCCAGAGTTTCTCATCATGCCAGGATACTGAGCAATAACAGTAATTTAATAATGCTGTCTGCAGTGCCCAGCCAGCAGCTGCAAGCATAGGAGAATAAATAAGACTTTCAATACAATCAAAACTACAACATTTCTGGTACAGTAGGAACGGTTGATGACAAAGCCCTCACAGATAACAAGACCTGGTTATAAAGTCCTGGAAAAGGAGCAGTACTTTCTGTTCACCTGGCTTTTTTAAATAAATCAGTTCAAAAACCACAACAAAACACATGCAGGTCACTTCACACAGCAAGTTAACAAGACATTGAACACGACTCCTTTTAGTATAGAAAAAAAAAATAGAAGTATTCATAAGCAGTCAATACACAAATAAACATTGCTCAAACAACTGAGTACAGAATTCACTTCATCCAAAACCTGAGAAAATGGTTAGAGAAAATATGTGCCTCCTTTTCAGTTTTTATATGCACCCTATGCTCCAAATGCAGCGTATAATCTTTTTCTTTTTTTAATTTTTTTCTTGTTGTTCTTTTAAAATATGAAATAGTGTTAAAGGTTCCATTAAAATGGATCTTATTGTCTTCGTTGGAGAACATCAACATCATGCTGAATCAAACCTCTAAAATTTCTGAACTTTCAGTATCTGCGTAAGTAATGACATAAACATTAAACCTGTTCAATTAAATGTACCATAACAGGAGATAGTTTTCTAAAATTGGTACTGAATTTTTGTATATGTAATTGTTTTAGATGAGCAAATGTATTTTAAAGAAATTACCTCTTTTCCAATCAAGTTAACCATTATCTCTTTTGACACCCATTTAATTGGCAAGGATTCAGCCACTCTTTCTAAATAATTCCATTTCCTAAGTACTAATCATTTAAATAGTTTTTGCTGTCTCCTGTCTGAGCATCTCCAGGATAACCTCTGTCGTTTTTCCCATTTATACCTGATTTACAAAAAATAAAATAAAAAATGATTAGATGAATGAGGGACCTCACAGCTTCCAGCCTCAAAGCACAAAGCAGAAGCAATTAGTTTATACACAAATGCTTTATCAAAAGTATATTAATATTTAAATCAGAGGTGATCTCTAGTTTTACAACACCTATAGTTCTCAGGTTCTATAGGTCATAGTTCTCAGTTTAAGGTGAACTATATACATATAAAAAACAACCAACTAGCTAATATACATTGTTTAAGTATATTTTCTGCTTGTTTTTGTCTTTCCCCTTCCTCCCCATTTCCTTTATTTTTCCTTAGTGGGGATTGGCAAACAGAGCTTCCCCTTCCATCAGTTTTCTTGGTAATTTATAACCCAGAAGTAACATGTTATCATAGAAGTTTCCACACATTATTTCCTCTATTAAAATCAATCTGCATTATGTTTCATTACCTTGGTTTTGATAATGCAAAATACTTCGGTAGTTAAGAGCACTGCTGATGGTGGGGATAATCATTTTGCACAAAATTAATCTCAAGGGTCCTCAGAATAATGCAGATTTACCAGAGAAAACACCTATCCTATTACGATTAGCAGTGCTAATTTAAACACTTACAGACATAGAAAGATTTTGCTTGTGACAGGTATTTTAAGTTTGGCATCTTTTCAGAAATTAGAAGAAATCACACTCAAGCACTGTTTTCAGGTAAAGATAACAGCACGAAACTTAAATATCTATTTATTTGATAGCTTCGTAAGTATTTAGAGTTCATATGGGTATGAGTTAGACAGTGCAAAAGCAAAACAGCCTTTAAAGTGTTTCTTTTTATAAAGAAAGTAGTTCTCACAGATGTACAGAATGGTTGAGATCAGAAGGGACCTCTGTTGGTCCTCTTTTCCAATGCCCCTTGCTTAAACAGGGTTTTGAGTCATTCCTTTTCATTTCTTCTACTTACTGTTTTTCAGCACTCAAACTCAGCCTTGGCTTCTTCAATGGGATCTAGCATTCCAATGTGTCTGTGTTATGACCTCTAGGTTCTAGCCATTACAGAACCAACTGTATTGATATATGAGAGACAACCTATTTGACAAAAGACATTTGTTTAAAGTAAAGCATACTTAACTTGCCAAAACCAGATTTTTTTTTTTGCACTGTTGTACCTACAGTTACTGATTTGCCTAAACTCTTGAGCAATTTTGTTTTCATATTCTGTGTTCGACCAGTACCAAGTCTCAACCATATTGCTTCAGAACATAGATACTGCCAGAAAGCTATAATACCCATAATACTAGTTCTTGGTTACTTGCTACACCCCATAACCTGACTTTCACCTTGAAACACTAACTCTTGCTACAAAAGAAATAGATTGTTCCTTCCTTAATATGCAATGAAGTTAGAGTCTTTTCTACTTTGTCAGAGTTACTCCTGTTTTCCTTTGTTAATCTCCAAATTAGTAGAAAAAAAAATTATCACTTCAGGATCTAGCCGGTGGTGCTGTGATATTTTAACTATCACCCTTGCTGCTATAGCTGAGTGTGTTCCATATTAAAATCAATAGCAGAAGTCAAGCCACTAATATGAAAAAGCAACTTCTGTTTTCAGTTAAAAACATGAATCCTCATTTCCCGTAGCAGTTCCAGAATCTGCAGTTGCCATTCTTATCACTTTCACAAAGCTTTTAAACATTAACTGCATTAAATAATTAATTTGACATTAGCTAAGTAATCCACTGACCAAAGAGAGAGAAACTGGCACTGGAAAATGATTCATTTGGAGGTTAAATTAATTAAAAATAGTACAGTAGTGACAGAATTTAATCTCATACTTCTCATGAGAGTGTGGAATCACTCACAGCTGCAGCAATTTGTGATAAATCCATGGAGAAATTTCATGATAGAAGAGGAATTAATTTGAGTCACCCCTAAGAGTATGTGTGTTCACTCAACAGTACCTACACATTAAACAATATTAAAAACAAACAAATTGAATAAACCAAAAGAATCTATCATTTGAGCTAGCATGTGATATATATCATCCAATATAAAGATGAAATTATTTGCATCAATAAAATTTAGAGGATCACAGCAGTGACTGGGAGGATCAGAATATTCTTTACTGTCTTTATCTGTGTATCTGCTTCCTTGAACAGGTAAAGCTCAATCTTTATATTCTACTTTTATCAGGATACCTCTTACTTCAAAAACTTGAAAAAAAAAAAAAAGGGGGGGGGGAGGGAGGGGATGACTTTAAAACATGTCCCAGGCAAGAATCTGTATGTATTTTAGAGTCAGGTGGAAAAAGAGAGAAAGATACAGAGCTGGAGACAACCATAAAGAAACAGACTACTGTGCTAAGTAATCTCAAAAATACAACTACTAAGCAGCAGAGCCTTAGTTACCCAACTCAACAAGGACGATGTACATTGTAAGATCATGCTTAGTATATACGCATGTATGTATGCATACAGTGAAGCATATAAGCTACACATTATACTCATTCCAAACTATTTTTGACGCTGATGAATGAAAAAGCCAGTCAAATATTTTCTGATCAATGAAGGATCTCTTAACTTAACAGACTGATTATCCTTTGATAGGAGCTTGATCATATTAACAAACTCCCATTATATTACCTGAATAGTCATAGCTCGAGCTCTAGCCCCCTGATGAATGAGTGTAAGAAAGGCCAATATTCAATATCCAATCTTCAAAAAAATTTTTTTTTAAATCTTAAAGACTGCTTTATGTGACTCAGCTGCAACCACCACTCAGACAAGAGCAGAAGCAAAGCAGGCTGAACTGGAATAATCTTGCCAGGTTCTAGGCTGCTCATGGGATGGCTGAATGAGGAAAGACTGCCTTTTGTAGGAAGGAAGAAAGAAACAAACCAGTTCCACAAGGAGGAGTTCAAAATATGTTTAAAACAGAACTCCATTTTCTATCTTTATATTTGTGTCCAAGCAAGCCTATGTGAAATTGGAAGAATGAATGAGATAGAACAGTAGAACGCTGCTCATATTCTGAATACTGAGATATATAGCTAGATAGATCAGTATGTTTATTCATATACTGAAATTACTACCAACTCAGAAGTCTAAAAGGATAGGGAGGGATCTCTGGGCCTGAATAAAAAGAGGAGCAACTGGATTCACAAACAAATTCAGTAGGAAAGAAACATCAGAAATAAGCACACGTTGGAAATACAAGATATTCCAACTACAAGGAGTGAGGCTTCTGCTGTAGCTATTGATCAATCCACACAATTCTTCTCTGCAGTTTAATACAAGAGCTCCTGAATACATGAACCTTCTAAAGTAAGGTTCTAACTATCCAAGTACACAGTGCATTTTGAGTGGAGAGTTGGGGGGAAAATAAAGATATATAACTTGGAAGATTCTTTCCTCCTCACCTCTTAATAACATAAGGCTGATGACAGAACCTGTTATACCTTAGAGGCATATTGTAATAGAATACATCTACAACTGAAAGCCAAAGATGTTTTTGCAGCTTACACATATATAATCTAAATGGTTCCAAATTTACTAATGCAAGTCCTAATGACAGCATAGGTTGCAGCATGAATTGTACAATTCTGCCCAGAAGCCAAGGTAAATACTCATGTTAAGCATGCCATCTGTAGAAAAGAGATAATATTTTGTCCTGCTGTTGGTATTACTGGCAGAGTATGTTACATGTGTGACGAGAAACTTAGACTACAGCTTATGACAACAGCCACATTCGCTAGGTGGTACTGTCAGACAAATAATAGTAATGCTAATAACTAGAGGGAACTATTAAGATGAATCAATATATAATGAAATTATAATGCATATGTAAAACATTTTTGTCTATCCATTGAACAATTATGAACCACAGAATACAACTGATCTGGCAACATAGCTAAATTGTTATTGATTTGCACTGACATTTTTTTCTCCCCTCTTCTTGACAACATTTCTAGAATTTTTAGCTAACCAGATATTATGGCTCATAGCGAAGATGAAATCTATTATAAATTCTGCACATCTGCTGAGATATGCCATTCTGAAATTAACTGTCTTGAAACCTATATTTGAAGCACATGAAAGGCATTCAATTTCCTGATATGAACTCCTCTTATATCAATACCTAAATTTAAGATAGTTTGCATTCTTCTTCACGCTGCAAAACAACGAAAAAAAGTATCTTTCCTCTGGGATCACAAGAAATCAAGACTAGTATTTTTGAACAGTTGCTCAAAGAGGAAGTCTTCATCTGAGAAGACTAACATTTAAGTGTCTGAATAAATCAGTGACTTAAGTTCTAAATAAACATATGACACAATCAAGGCTTTTGAAGTCGAAGTCATGAAAATCCAACAATTAAATCTAAGTTTTATTAGTGTTAACGTAATTCCCCACATTTTTTAATAAGCAATTTAAATCTGCTTTAACAAGGATTTTGGCATACATTATAGACTTCTAACATCTAGTATAGACTAATGAGCTTAGACATAGATACTCGGGAACCACAAGTACTGCAGTTACCGATTAGAGATGCAGGCTAGCATCTCTGAAAATGATATCTCTAACATGGATTTCAAGTGTGTAAACAGGTGAATACACACTGACAAAGTTATAGTAACAAGGAGAATCTGGTGAATTATCCATGCACCCAGTTACGATGCAAATATTATTGTTTCAAACAACATTCATTCTAGGATGTTAAAACCTCTCTTCCCCCCCCTCCCCCACCATGCTGTTGGAGGTTCTTGTTGGGGAAAAAACATTGCATTTGTCTCACAGGCACTGAATTTAGCTCTATGTTAACTATTCTTAAACTCAGCAGAGATATAGAGATATCAGATACAAGCATCACTAATACTAGTTTTGATGAGGGATGTAACATTTAAACTTCTTAAATTGGCATTTAAACTTCTTAAATTGGCCTGATTAGTCTCCCTCAATCCTTATCACTAAATTATTTTTGTCCTCCACTGTTACAGTCATATTCCCAAATTTATCAGTCAACAATAAACCAATACCTGGTAACTTCAATAACACATTTCCTCATTAACTAGAAAAATCTATTTATCAAAGTTCCAGTCTCGGGCTCTGGCAAGATTTACACACAGCTAATAGACAGGACAGTAGTGGGTCCCACTTCAAAAACAAAACCACAATAACAGGGTTAGAAAAATAGTTCCTTTAGCCATTATCTAATCATCTGGCTCATCTGGAGAATTTTAGCCTTGGACTACCGCCAGTTTTGCCTCGCCACCTGCTCATTAATACTCCCCCTTCTGTAAAACTTATGTGTTCAGGTGTTGAAGCTGGAAACATCTGATTAGGAAAACACCCAATACAATGAAAAGGTGAGTTAATATGCACTACACAAGCACAGAGGCAGAGGTCTAGTGCAGACAGGCCAAGACAGAAGTATGAGATTAACGTTACAGAACAAGAGTACAGAATAGGTCAAAGCCAGCAGTGAGTCATTCAGGGGACAGAATTAACTTTAAGGAAAAAAAAAAAAAAGCAGTTGGGCTTTGCTGAGAATGTCGTTTTGCTTTTTCCCTAACTCAGTACTTTTGGTTAAAATTAAAGTCTTTTCCTCTGAATTGTTTTTAACATGAAAGTCAAAATAATTTTCTAGTATGTTATGACTTTTCTCGTACCCACCTCTGCACCTACCTCAAGTTAAAAGATAGAAATAATTGTTTTAATATGCTGCAAAGGACTTACATTTTTATCTGATACTTCACTTGATACTCAGGAAGAAAAGTATGTGTTTCATTGAAGATGCTCCTAAATTAAGTTTCCTTGTACAAATTAGAAACTTTGACATTTAAAATGAATTTTAATAGGGTAATAAACTCAGAAAATTTCATAACTCCATCCAAGATATGAGGCATCTCTGACCTACCCAACAGCTTACACTGAATGAAAATCATCATTAAATTCTCATGAGGCAGCAAACCATTAGATATTTTAGAGTTACTTATTTGAGTGATAAAAACAAATATGAAGAAAAACAGTATCATCCATTTTTCAGTGTCTTTGCAAGGACTTCAGAAGAACTTCACCATATTGTGAATATTTGCATTTAAAAAAAAAAAAATCTACTTTTTATCTTCCTTATTCCAGAGTAAAACGTTAAAGTTGAAACCAAACAGATTAAGTGCTCAGAACAGGAAGTAAATAACAAGAATGTCAATACTTACATATTTCCACCTAACAGTTCCTTGAGGCTTGACTTCTTAAAATGTGTTATTTGTATAGGTAACCTGAAAAATAGGAAACACCATACTCAGTACTTCTTGGCAACCAACACAACTTAAAGATTTAACATTATTTCTTTAAAAAAAGAAAAGTTACAATCTGGTATTCCATCAATTATGATGTTCTGAATATACATATTTAGATGAAATTCCCTTCTTAGATAATCTTTTCCTTAATTCCTGGCTTATCCATCTAATTTAAGCAATCGCTCAACTCCTTTTATTGTAGTGACAGTTACACCTACAGTGATGATTACGTTTATATATTTGCAGTTTTAAGAAATGTTAAAAATTGGTCCAAAACAACAAATAATGCTGATTTTCTGGCCATGTTCATTTAAAGTGCTCTTCCTGGAAATAAGACAATTTTATAGAAGAGAACCAGACTTGTTACAACAGCTAAGGACAAAAAAAAAATAAATAAAAAATATTTTTTTTTACTACAAGAAATTTAAAAGTTCCTCTTCTAAAAACTAGTAGACAAATTGGAGCTTATTACACTGAAAGATGGAAAATATGAATTGTGGAACAGAACGTTCGTGGTTTGCATCTGCAAACAGCTTCATAAAGGATGCCTCAACACTTTTCCAAAAACACTGATTTAAAAAAAAAATAAAAAAGGTAAGGGTGGAATAAGTGAATGAACATTATTAGAAGACTAAAACGTTCTTTATGTGACCAGAACAGACCTTCATTAGTAACAGGTTTCCTTTGCAAAAAAAGCTCAAAGCAACAACAGACTAATTATGTAAATCTGACTGCATACCTTGACAAGAATAGATATTAATTTAACATTACCAATGCCATACAAGGAAGTGAGACACGTACCCAGTGCATAATGCATACTATATTTAACAGTAAGACATAAAAGAATAGGTTTTCATTAATAAAAATTATTCAGTACTGGTTAAAGCTGATTCACCTTGTATACCTTAATCCATATTATGAAAGAAAATAAATGGAGTATTTACACAAAAGGAAAAAAAAAAAAAGTCATTTGTCATATAACATCTTTTTTCATTTTTTTTTTTGGCCACCAAGCCAAAACATTCATTGCTTATTCCACTGTCATGGAAGTGAATCCTGCAGAAACTTGTATGTAAGGATTCTCATGGAAGAGGCAGTATTACTACCTTTTATCTTTGTGAAATTAAAACTATTACCAGGCTAGTCAATCTACTGCTGCAGGATTCTGTAAGTTCATTAACAGGATTGCTCAAATGATCAGTAATATGAAGAGCACTTACAAGATGCAAGAGAAATTCAGGTACCACTACATTTTAGGTTATTGCACAATTCCACACACACCCTTATACACAATGATTTTTGCCATATTTCTCTGCAATAGGCTGTTGTTACAAAATAAATAAATAAAACAAAAATAAAATTAAAAAATCGTGTTATAAAACTCTGTTGAAGAAAGGGCTTCCTAACAGGCAGTCAAATGAGTTGCACATAACAAACTTGAATAGAGCCTAAGAAGTCAGAGTTGGGTGAAGAGTCAACATATACTATTTTCAATCAAGTAATTTTCACTATTCATTAAGGCCTCAATGATTGGGTTCCCACTCTCCTCCCCATTAAGAACCATCAGGTACATCATTAATTAACATGGGGGTTTTTTGTTCCCTCTCCCTCCCCACAGATGCTATTTTTAGTATTTTCCCCAAGTCTCCTTGGACTCCTTTCCCAACTTACTCAGAATCACTTAGATGAGCTCAGAATGGAAAACCTTTTTTTTTTTTCCTTATTTTTAAGTATACATGTCATCTGACACCATATATGTTTTGTAGCAGGTTAATGACCAAATTCTCTCATATTTATTCTACATAAAATGACAGGCATTATCCTCCTTCTTGTTGTATATATTGAATAAAATTAGAAACGCAGTTATGAAACTGTTCCACATCCTCACACTTCATTATTTCACTGCTCTCACTCATCTTATTTAAAGATTGCTTTATAGATGCCTTATAATCAGCGTTTGTAGCTTGCTTTTTCTTTTTTTTTTAGCATTATGAAAGAGTAAGATTTATTAAAAAAATACTTTATTACATGTGAGATAGGCTTCGCTTGCAATTAAACACCTTCTGTTAATCCAACAAATATCCAGTAGGAAGCACAGAAATATTAGGAGACGCTACTCATTTTGAACATGAAATCAGAAATGTGAAATGTGGAGCATGATACAGATACTGGCGCAACGATAATAAATACTATTCACAGAATCAGAGCCTTTCCCAAATTTTACATTGCATAAGTGAAATATGTTTTTAATGAAAAGTTATTTCTCAATTTTTCATCTTTAACTGATCATTAACACTCCTAAGATATTGATAATGATGACACTGCAGTGTAGCTTTTTTCTCTTCATTTGACAACAAAGCAGAACAATGTGAAAAGAGATACACATGAATACAAAACAAATATCTAAAAATAGCACTAAGAAGTTTTAGAATTAATGCCCTCAATTCTTGCACATCATGGAAGTTGATTTTAAGCAAATTACATCAAATTGAAAAGACAAAGAGCAGTAATAAAGCTGCAAGTTTCCTACTGCACTAAACAATGATAATGACCCAGGGAGCAGAACACCATAACCACACTTGGGTAAGGTCTTTCAAAAGAAACAGGATGATTTAAAAATTAGCATTACAGTATGCTCTTTCCACAAAGGAAACAAGCTTCAGTATTTATTCTTAAAATAAGGAGACAGCAACCTTTTTGGTTGCTGTACACTTACTCAAGTTGCTGTACACTTACTCAAGAAAATGAAATTAGAATATTTATATTCATAGATGTTAAACTGGGAAACAAACAAGTAAAGACATGACCCCTGATATTTGTTTCTGCTCCATTTATCCACCTGTTTTGACAAGCATCTAATTGAAAGCTGAAATATGAAGGAGACAAAAGTAGCACTGGCTACTTTAGATGTAAAGAAAAGCAGCACATATATACAGTATTATTTTACAAGATATTTCTCTTGTTCTGATTTATATAGGGAAAGTATGATTTTTATCCTTGGTACTTCCATTGGTTATTGCCAAATACTGTCTGGATTTCAAGATCTAAACTAAAATAAACTTTTTTTTATATATATATATATATAAGCATGCCTATGAGGGGAAAACAAAAACAAATTCTAGATTTTCATAATTCTCAACTTTTTTTCTCCTACTGTTTTTCATGTTCCTCGAAAACTTCTAATAAGAAAAACTGTCAGTTAAGGAAACTGTTGTTTTGGTTAAAGCTTACCTTTGGAATGCCATATTATCATTTTTAGTATTCTAAGCCTAATCAGAGACTAAACCTGCTATATCAGATTATTTGTAAACACAAAACCAAACAGGGTAGCTTAGTCAAGAGACAGCAAAAGGCAGATGAAAAGTTTAATAGAAACTGAAAAAAAAAAAAACAAAAACAAAACATCCTTGCTACAGAGATGCAGTTGTTTTCACAAAGCTGAAGCCTACACAGGGTTAAGACCTCCAAGATACCACTGTTAAAGAGATGCAGACTAATTTCAATACAGACAGTTCTGTAACTGTAGATGCATTTACCATTCCGAAGTATAAATGGCAGCACGGCATAAAATCACAAAAGGTGCTTACTAGTATGTTTAATTCTATACTACCATATACATTTAAGTAATACTACTGGATGTAAGAGCTGAGCTGACATCTAAGACCAATGAATTATGAACCTTGTGTATAGACTGAGTTATGGGTCACCACCCATTACCCACAGTTGCACCTCAGGACCATAAAGAAGCTATACCACCAACATTCATACAATTTCTTGGGGATGTCAGTAGGTGCAAGTATAGTTATTATTTATTGAGTCATGTTCAAGTTTATGTTTCAGTGAAACAAAAACACACACTGACAAAACCCAAGAACAGAACCAGAATAAGTGCCGAAAGGAGTATTCTGAGAGCAGTTACTTGATGGGTTTTCAGACTAAGAGGTGACTAGAGAGTTGTTTGCACCTCAGTGAAAAATCACAGTCCTTTGTTCAATTCCTAGTGCATTAAGAGAAACAAATTTATTTAGCCTTGCAAATAAATATACTACTAATAACTGTAACATCCATTTCTTTTGGTAATTTCTGAACTGGATAATTGGTTAGGTTAAAAGAATAGTATTAAGCAAGTACAGGACAGAAGTTGGCATCATCAGGGACAACATTAGCATAGGAAATGAGATGTGGGTAGTAATATATGGACAGATAGGAGATCCTAAAATATAATGCAGTTTTCAAGGACAAGACTAGCTCTCTAGTGGAACAGAAGTTCAAAGGGCTTTTGTGAAAAGACAAGTTTTTCTTAGAAGGAAAACTGATTGTATTCTTAAAACCGTTACTTCCTTTGATCTCAACATTTCCAGGAATTTTTTAATTACTGAACTGGTTAGTGGGAACTGTACAGAGAATTTCATGCGTGGGAAACAGTTTGCTCCTATGCTTGCTGTATCTTATTTTTGCCCTCTGATCCACAGTGCATTCTCTTGTTGAAAAAGTAGGTATAGTATCTGCACTTAATCCACGACAAGAGAATTGCATAACATCAGCTATTCTATATGATGGGAGATGGGCTCATTGGTAGCATTCGGTAGCATGATCCCTCTTAGGACAGCATCATCTTATCCTACCACTAAAATGCATGCATCGCCTTATCTTGTTCTGGATCAAAAATACTTGTAAATACACAGAACAGGATTCAACCACATGAAAGAAAACACAAGATTTCTGCCTTTTCACAGAAGTGTAAAAATAAACAAGTTCCTTCCTCTTTCCTCAGAATAAAGGATAAAAATAATTTGATAATAACCTAGCGATGAAGAACTCAGTACACAATCTGATTTTTTTTCCTCCTTTCCATTCAGTGCTAGATTAAACCCTTTAATTACATCCAAATTCCATTGTCAAGATATTCAGAAGTATCATGTGTTCAGTTTGCTCTTTTTTCCCCATGCCTTTCCGATTCGAAGTACTAATATCTTTAT